GCAACGACCATCCATCGCTTCATAACTGTGGCCTTTCTTTCCAAATTTTTTCACTAAATCTTTTTAGGACTTTAATGTAATAGTGTTGGTTAACAGTCTGACCACTGGGAAACCACTCAATCATTACAATTCCATTAATGTGGAATTTTGATTTTGACATGCGTGCTTTTTTGGGTTTTGGGGATCTTGGAGACTTCTACTCCATTGACTGGCGCTTACATTCTGGGTCATAGGTAAAAATCCAAGTCTCATCACATGTTACAAAAGATTTCAACAAATTTTACAAAAAACTTGATGTTTATATGCTGTTCGATTTTTACGTTAGACATTTTTCCGGCAGAATGCAGTAGCACGTGTTTACTAAATAACGTAATACTTCCAAATGGTATGACCGATTCAATCGAAATTGGCAACATGGATAGAGGAGGTATGAGGGATGATGCCACAAAAAACAATTGCTGCCAATTCCATTATTTTTTCAAGCTACAGACCTAGTCTCGTTACTTTTGTGTCACACCTCGTATGTCAATTGAATAGTACAGACAGTAAAGACTTGGCGAAGAAAGACTTGGAAACTATACCGACTGATGTTCAATTTCTAGGATATCCAGGATATCCAGGAACGCCTGGAATACCGGGAACACCAGGCACACCTGGAGCACCAGCCAAACCGGGAACACCACCGCAACCGGCATATCCTGGCACACCTGGAACATCAGGAATACCGGGTATACCAGGAACACCAGGTACGCCAGGCACATCACCACAACCTGGATACCCAGGAACACCCGGAACACCTGGACACCCTGGAACACCTGGAACACCAGGGACACCAGGAAATCCACCGCAACCTGGGCATCCTGGAACACCTGGAATTCCGGGAATACCTGGAACACCAGGAACGCCACCACAGCCCGGACATCCTGGAACACCGGGACATCCAGGTACGCCAGGAACACCAGGCACTCCAGGAACGCCAGGATTCCCACCAACACCGGGACATCCAGGTACACCCGGAACTTCAGGCACACCAGGAATTCCAGGATTTCCACCGAAACCTGGACGTCCAGGAACACCAGGACATCCAGGTACGCCAGGCACACCAGGCACACCAGAAACGCCAGGAATTCCGCCGAGACCTGGACACCCTGGTACACCCGGCACCCCAGGAACACCAGGAACGCCAGGATTCCCACCAACACCTGGACATCCAGGTACACCCGGAAC